GCAGATACCCTACTCTAATTAGACTCTTCTTTCAGTACTAACAGCTGAGGCATGGACCCTAGACATTTCAGCTGCTAACAACATTGTTTAATAATGAGCCATGGGCTGAATTCCTCAGTTTAGTATTCTTCTGGCTGCATGTTATCAATGCTGACTGTGTCCCAGAAGTAGCAACCTGGGTTACAGATCAGTTTCCTAGAGCCTCTGTCACCAAAAGAGCCACCAATCCGATCTCCAATTATATAAGGAATGTTTCAAAAGATATTCTTTTCTGCTTCACAGGTAATTGGATGTAGCCAAACGTATGAAGTCATTTTAGAACAATGATAAGATCAAAATGTAAAATAATCACTTCTAATATGAGGTAGCAAGGTGGAAAGTGAGCCAGGATGGAAATGCAAAACCTCTATGGGGGGTTACTGACACGGACCATTTTTTAAATTTTATTTATTTATTTATTTATTTTGAGACGGGATCTTGCTCTGTCACCTAGGCTGGAGTGCAATGGCACGATCTCGGCTCACTGCAACCTCCGTCTCCCGGGTTCAAGCGATTCTCCTGCTTCAGCCTCCCATGTAGCTGGGATGACAGGCATGCATCACCATGCCTGGCTAATTTTGTATTTTTAGTAGAGACAGGCTTTCTCCATGTTGGTCAGCCTGAACTCCCGACCTCAGGTGATCTGCCTGCCTCAGCCTTCCAAAGTGCTGGGATTACAGGTGTGAGCCACCGTGCCCGGTGACATGGCCCATCTTGATGACTATGGGTTTCCAGTGATTGGAAGCCCCCGTGTGAGCCATATGTGCCCTGTCTATCAAAATCCTAGAGCAATTTCAGATGCATTCATAGATAGTGCACGTTACTTTGACAGCACCTCCACATATAAACAGCAGTACAGCAAAAGTTGCAGATATTTCAACAGCTGAAAGGGACAGGATGGGGAAAATCAACCAACACTTTTCTGACACTGGAATTCCGTAAACCAATGTGACTCTGTGGTCCAGAATCAAGGGGAAAGGATGGTCCTACATTTGTCCTGCATGGATAAAAACACATCTAGACATGTGTTCACATGTGAACTACACATTTTATAAGCGTTCCTGACAAATGGACAAAATCCAAAGAAGGAGGACCCTAGAGTGAAGCACACCACATGAGGAACACACAAAGGGCTTCACATTTCCTTTCAAATGGGGGTTTGGAAACAAAATAGTTATCTTCAAATATTTTATAGCTGTCCTTAAAAGTGTAAAAACTGCCTGGTACTCCAGCTCCATTCCAAAACACAATCATTCATTCATCTATTCAGCAAACATTTATTCTGCATCTCCTCAGAGTGAGGCCCTGTGTTAAGTGGCTATCTAGGGGTACATAAGACTCTTCGTAAGTAATGAAGAGTCTAGAAGCAGAGAGGGTTAAACAAGCATGCGAATAACCCAGTAATCATAATACAGGGGAGAGTATGATAGGCATCATGTGAGCAGAACAAAGCTTACTTTGGAATTCAGAGTCAGGAGTTATCATGTCCCACTAGCAAGATCAGAAACGACACTATGAAAGAGATGGCATTGCACTGGGTTTCAAAGATGTGTACTATTTCTGTGAGGAGAAATATACTAAAGACTTATTCCAGGTTGGAGGTAAAAGTGCAAATACTTAGAGGTGAGAAAAGGGCTGGAAAACATAATGGGACAGAACCAAAGAACTGATGAGTTCAAGTTGACCAACCACAGGTATAGAAATCTCAAGTATTAGGGGACAAAGCTAGAACTTTATAGGCCCAACAGTGAAGAGCTTGTATCTTAGGCTGCAGAGAATGACTAGGTGCAGGTATTATTAAAAGCTTTGTAATATAGAGTGTCGTGTTTGTTTGACTCCTAGCATAGATCAGAGGCAGACACAGAGAGACAGGAGGTTTGCACAATGGCTAGGTAGAAGGAAATGAAGTCCTGAAGTAGGATTGAGGCAGGTAGCAGTGGGGATGGACATGAGGGAAAAAAGCTGTGAGGTATTTCAGAAACTGAATCAACAGCAGCCAAGACACTTCTGGAAATATGGGAGTGGGTGAGGAGGGATAACTCAGTTATCAAGTCTAAGGGACGCAGAAAGAGCAGAAACCCCTGCTGGAGGAGAAACTGACTCAGGGTCAGAGCAGGCTGAGTGAATATGGAAGACAGTGTGGCTACCCTGGAAAGTGGCTAGGATAGGACCAGGAGAATGTTCTAACCCAAAGCCTTGCTCTAAGCACCTCTCAAACCTTCCCCAACTCATGATCACCCCCTCAGAAGCTACTTGATAAGGAAATACCTGAAAAGAACAGGCAAGGATAGAGCCAATCCATCCTTGAGAAGCGCCACTGGCTACCCAAGGCGACCCTCTGTGAAGGCAGAGGCTGTTGCAGGGTTAGAGAAACGCCCCCCTCCACCTTGAGGTCCCCCAACAGGGGATATAAAGAGCAACCTTCCGGCCCTGAGTCTGCCACTCACTCCCCCTGAAACCTTAAAAGATGATCTTCTCTCACTTTGGGAGGCTGAGGTGGGCGGATCACTCGCAGTCAGGAGTTGGAGACCAAACCTGACCAACATGGAGAAACCCCATCTCTACTAAAAATACAAAAAAATTAGCTGGGCATGGTAGCACATGCCTGTAATCCCAGCTACTCAGGAGGCTGAGGTAGGAGAATCACTTGAACCCAGGAGGCAGAGGTTGGGGTGAGCCGATATCATGCCATTGCACTCCAGCCTGGGCAACAAGAGTGAAACTCCATCTCAAAAAAAAAAAAAGATGATCCTCTCTGAGTCAATTCCTTCATTTGTAAGATAGGGGTAGTAATGAGTACCCCACCCATTTCACAGGTTTTATTAGATTAAGTATGAGGAGACAGAATCTTGCAAAGCACACAAAAGCCAATGGTCATTAGAAGTTGAGAGCAGAAACTACAACAAATTCCTATGTGTATCCTGTATGGAGCTGTCTATGGAAGGAGGGAGGGAGCAAGGTAGGCAAGAAAATACCATAGCCTGGGGGCCACAGGCAGCTGTTAGTCAAAGAATACTGCCTGCCAGATTTCAAGAACAGCCTGCTCCAGAGAAATAGGAGGGACAGTTAAAATCAACCAGGTCATCCCTCTTGTTTAACAGATGGGAGGCTTCGCCCTGAGACAGGCCCAGTAACCTACCAAAGATCTCTAGTGGCCTGACAGAGGGCCCAGGGATATGTCCAATAACTGGAATGTCTGTATAATCACAGTGTACACAGTATTTCTACCCACATTATCTTACTTATCTTCACAAATAGCCTTTGAGCTGAGTGGGAAAGTATTATTAAAATTTCGGGCCGGGCGCGGTGGCTCAAGCCTGTAATCCCAGCACTTTGGGAGGCCGAGACGGGCGGATCACGAGGTCAGGAGATCGAGACCATCCTGGCGAACACGGTGAAACCCCGTCTTTACTAAAAAATACAAAAAAACTAGCCGGGCGAGGTGGCGGGCGCCTGTAGTCCCAGCTACTCGGGAGGCTGAGGCGGAAGAATGGCGTAAACCCGGGAGGCGGAGCTTGCAGTGAGCTGAGATCCGGCCACTGCACTCCAGCCTGGGCGACAGAGCCAGACTCCATCTGAAAAAAAAAAAAAAAAAAAAAAAAATTCCTGTTTTTCAACCTGAGGTTAAATGACTTGTCCAGGGAAGGATTCAAATCCAGACAGTCATACCCTCAGCCCACTGCTCTTTCTCTATACCACAACTTCATGCCTGCGCTGGGTTTTAGCACAATCATTTCAGCTTTCATCATATTTCAGATTCCAAATTCTGTTTCATTACAAGTTCTTTTTCCTCTTATTTCACACTGCCTTCAGCAATATTTCACATTCAACCTTACCTGGTAGGATCCTACCGATCTCTTGTCTTAAAAGTTCAGTGCCCACATTTGGCACCAGAAACTCTTTTCTAAACCTGAATTATGAAAACTGGGCCTTCCCATATAAATCATCTTTACAAAGTCTGTCCTCACAAGTGTATCATTTGAGATGTGCATGATTATTACAGCAAACACATTGGACTAATTGAGGCAATGTTTAACATGCAAGTACCAAGAAAGCAGCTTTCACAAATGTGTAGAAAACGAAGGCAAATAGTTCCTGGCTTTATCAATAAAAGCTGATTTGCATTCATGGGAGGACCTCCAAGTGCAGTCAGCAACAGAAAATGATCCCGATAATTCCAGTAGCCCACATCCAAAGGTTCTGAACCTGAATGTGTGTCTTTATTGAGGGAGGTCCAGGGAAGACCTAGGGGAAGAAAGTGCTGAGATAAAACTGGGAACTGTCTCAATGTCCTCTTTCCCTTAGTCTGTGGGGCCTGACGTTCCATCACGAACCTTATTTCAGGAGTAAGCAATGAATGTTTTGCTCCTCTTTTCAACTCAGGGAAGAGGATTAATATTGCTCAGTCTCCTTGGCTTGCAGAGGTTTCTCGTGGGGATCATCAGGGGTGTGCTGACGCCTCCAGGCAGCACAGTAACAGGCTTAGGGGCCGGGCTGCGCAGGGGCGCTCCCATCTAACCTGCCTCTCCCTGCACTTTCTTATAAACAAGCCTTCAGTGGCGTGGCAGTCATTTCTGCTGAAAAATACTGGCATTCGTTCCTCTTATGCCCTCTCCTTCCTCACTATCCCCAGAACCAGAACATAACTTCCCACCCACCCCACTCCCGTCAGAAGCAGCTAACGGATGGTAACAGCTCAGCAGCCCTCGGTTTGGAGCTCAACGGACATGGCAACCACCTGGTGAAGGCACCAGCCTCGGCCCCCCGACCCCCCCCAGCGGCGCGCCCCAGGGATGCCCCCGGCTGGGCACCGCAGGCAGGACCCAGAGCAGCGAGGCCCAGACGCCGGGCAAGCCCCCAGGGAGCGCGCTGCCCCGGGTGAGGCCGGGAGTCAGACTAAGCCCAGAGACCATCCCCACCCGCCATTAATAAAACGCAGGAAAAATTAAAGCTTTGTTTACCGACATGAGTGATCACTGTGGCCAGTCGCCGGGTGAGCTCCTGGGGGGGCATCTCTTCTTTTAAGCAAGACAGCATTTCACTGAAAAACCACTCCGTATAAATAAAGCCAAACAAAACTGTTTCTACCGCTGCTGTGGATGATTTTTTAAAGGCATCTCCTCCCGAGGATGCTCTGCCCTCGCCCTCTTCCTGGCGGTCAAGGATCGAGAGTCCCTCGCAGCCGCTGCCAGCTCTCCCTCGCCACGTCTCGCGGGGGCTCCTGTGACAGACCAAGTCTGGCGCTTTCCCAGCGTCGCAGCTGGACCGAGAGGGGAGCGGCCGCTCTGCAAAAGGAAGCAAGTTGCCAGTCTCGCCAGAACCGCGTCCCGGCTCCTCCGGCTGGGCGAGGGCAAGGGCTTCCAGAATCGCGGTCCCGGCCGCCGGGTTTCCGGCGCCGCCTCCAGGGACTGTGAGGTGAGGGATGCTTCGCCGGGTGCAGGGGAGGCGGCAGGTGGCTGCGGCTCCTCTGCGCCGCCCGCCCCACGCCCCACGCCCCACTCCCCACTCCCCGGAGCCCACCTCTTCCCGCCCGCAGGCGGCGCCCGGGGCTCTCGGGGAGGCGCGCACGCGCCCAAGCGCCGCTTGTTTGGGGGTCGGGAACGCTGCGCCCCTTTCCCTGCTGGGAGCCCGCGCTCCAGCCCCTGGAGTGGGGGCGACTCACGGTCCCTACTCGGAACCGTGGGGCAGGGAGACAGCGACTGAGGCGCTCCAGCCGCACCGGGGTCGGGATCACCAGACGCGCGCCGGCTTGGTCTCCGCCCCTCCTTCTTCCCGGCGCGGTGTCTGCGGAGGAGCAGCGGAGAGAAGGGGGCTGACCCGAAGAGATGCCGCCATCCGGCAGGACCCGGAGCGGGAGGCTGGGTGAGGCGCCGCTGCTTGCCCCACCTGACCCCGGGGGCGGCTGGCGTGTGTTTTCCCCCCTTGAGGTTGTTCCACGCAGTTCTTGGCCTCCGCTGGCCACACCTGCACTGGAAGCCCAGTGCCTGGGCTGCGCTCCAACATGACTGGGCACGCATGGGCGCGCTCACCCCCTGTGTGGGCTTTTTCCTTGGTGCAGCTGCGCCCTTGCCACTGCTCCGTCTGTCACCAGTCAGGCGCGCCAGTGCTACGTTCTGGAGAGGCTGTGGCACATCTTCCATGCCGGTCCTCCTCCCCATCAGCCCATTATCCCGTGGTTTCCCTAGTTGGGCCCAGACACTTTCTGACTGGCAGCAAAAGACTAACCCCAGTTCAGCAGAGCGCCATGGAAACACCTGAGCAAATGCGAATTCGGTCAGGTTGTCCCCCAATTTTTTTTTCTTTTTTCTTTTTTTTTTTTTTTCGTTTTTAGAGATGGAGTTTCACCATGTTGCCCAGGCTGGTCTCAAACTCCTGGGCTCGAGTGATCATGCCCGGCCACAGAGCAACCATTTTCACAACCACCTTTTGCAAGAGATTAAAAAAAGGGTTAAAAGTCCGGGCATAGTGGCCCACGCCTGTAATCCCAGCACTTTGGGAGGCCGAGGTGAGCAGATCACAAGGTCAGGCGTTCAAGACCAGCCTGGCCGACATAGCGAAACCTCGTCTCTACTGAAAATACAAAAATTAGCCGGGTATGGTGTCACGCGCCTGTAATCCCAGCTACTGGGGAGGCTGCAGCAGGAAAATTGCTTGAACCTGGAAGGTGGAGGTTGCAGTGAGCCAAGACCGTGCCATTGCACTCCAGCCTGGGCAACAGAATGAGACTCCATCTAAAAAAAAAAAAGTTAAAGATCCACAGGAGGGAGGCAGCTTTTGAATTATGTTTCCACGGTGGTTTCTGGCTATTCAGGGGTCACAAGTGTTTTCAAGGAACCAAATGAGATGTTTCCTACTGATAGTAGTCAGAACCCTGGTGCCCAGTCAGAGCCAATTGTGAGTTTTGGTCAGCGGAAACCAATGCTTTGTAAAGAACACAATGATGTAGGGTATGTTGGACTGGGAGCGTCAGAGCCACTTTGAAGATCCAATAACCTCAACTTCCCAGCTTAGGCCGGGTCCTTATGGGTGAGAATCATGAAAAGGAAGAAGAGAAGGAATGGAGGAGAGGAAAAGGAGGGAGGAGAAGCTTATGATTAAGAATGAGAAGAAAAAGAAAAGAGATAGAAAGGAAATAAATCACACTCAGAGTGCTGCCCACATCTTTGGTACTTTCACAGTCCTCAAAGGTTTCCATGGAGATAAATGAGCTCCAGTTATGGTGAGATGTAGCAGGCAGCGCCTATTCTCAGAAACTAATTTTGCTCTTGTCTCTGACACTTGCTCTCTCAGGGCCTTCACTGCTTCCCTTGGGCAGTAAGGAAGTGGCTCTGTGATCTCCAAGTTCCCTTTTCCAGCTCTGAAATCCTATAACTGGAATTAAGAAGAAATGATCGGCCGGCTGCGTTGTCTCACACCTGTAATCCCAGCACTTTGGGAGGCTGAGGTGGGTGGATTACCTGAGATTAGGAGTTCGAAACCAGCCTGGCAAACATGGTGAAACCCCATCTCTACTAAAAATAACAAAAATCAACCGGGTGCATTGGTGGGCACCTGTAATCCCAGCTACTTGGGAGGCTGAGGCAGGAGAATCGCTTGAACCTGGGAGGCGGAGGTTGCAGTGAACTGAGATAGTGCCACTGCACTACAGCCCAGGTGACAGTGTGGGATTCCATCTCAAAGAAAAGAAGAGGAAGAGGAAGAGGAAGAAGGAAGAAGGAAGAAGGAAGAAGAAGAAGAAGAAGAAGAAGAAGAAGAAGAAGAAGAAGAAGAAAGAAGAAAGAAGAAGAAATAATGACCATATAGTGTTCAATATCTCATACCTCCTTGTTCTTCCAAGAAAATGGTCATTGTCTCCATTGTTCTCATGAACATTGACATCCTTTCTGTCTTCTTTCTTCCCACCCTCCCACCTTCCCTGCCTGTTTTTCTCCTTCCTAATTATGATCTCTTATATTATGCCTCCTTGTGTTCATTAATGAGGACAAAGCCCTCATGAACTAATCACCTCTTGAAGGTCTTCTTTCTCAGTGCTGTTGCATTGAGGATCGAGTTTCCAATGCATGAACTTTGGAGAACACATTGAAACCACAGCACAAAGAGGCATCTCATCACCCATGTGATGCCTTCCACCATGTTATGATGCCGCATGAAGGCTTTCACCAGATACAGCCCCTCGATCTTAGACTTCCCAGCCTCCAAAACCATAAGCCAAAGCAATTTCTGTTCATTTTAAATTGCCCAGTCCTTGGTTTTCTGTTACGGCAGCACAAAACAGACTAAGACATCTTGGCTGGCAAAATCAGAGAAACAAGCTAGAAAAGCCTGCTTCCTTCTCCAGTGAACCAATTAACAATCACTCACATCTACTGAACATCTGCTATGGTTGTGATAGGCAGTGTCAGGTACAACTACCACCACCATATAGCAAGTGACTGTTCTGTGTCTAGTATGATGTTAGACATTTTGCAAACACCTTTGAGGCCTCGCAACAGCACTCTAAAGGCTTTAGCCTCATTTTGCAGATGCCATTGTAAAGGACCAAACTGTGTAGTCAAAACCTAGACCATTCTCTCCCTTCAGTAAAGACCTGCTCAAGCTGGTCAGACACAGTGGCCCACACCTGTAATCCCAGCACTTTGGGAGGCTGAGGTGGGAGGATCACCTGAGGTCAGGAGTTCGAGACCAGCCTGACCAACATGGAGAAACCCTGTCTCTACTAAAAATACAAAATTACCCGACTGTGGTGGCGCATGCCTGTAATTCTAGCTACTCAGAAGGCTGAGGCAGGACAATCACTTGGACCCAGGAAGCAGAGGTTGCGGTGAGCTGAGATGACGCCACTGCACTCCAGCCTGGGCAACAAGAGTGAAACTCCATCTCAAAAAATAGTAATAATAATTGCTCAAGCTCCAAGTCACTGTAGATTGCACCTCTCTATGGGTGAACTGTCAGTGCAACTTCTGGCAAAGGAAAGACAGACAAAGGACCTACCTTGGAGAGCAGTGGCTGGCACTACAGCCTCCTCAGCTCCTGGTGCTACAGGTGAGGGTGGACATTCCTGGGGTACCAAGGAGGCCACCAGTTTCATCTACATCTGTGGTTCCCAAACTTTAGCAGCATCACCTGGGAATAGAAGTAATTTTTATAAAAACACAAATTTCTGGGCCCTACCTCCAGGATTCTGGTTTAGTAGTCTGGATTGGTACCCAAGAATCTGCATTTCTAACAAGTCCCCAGGAAAACTGACGGTACTAGTCCTGGGATTACCCTTTGAGCACCACTGGCCTGGATGAGAGCTCTTTAAAATTCTTAGATTGCACATCTTAGTATGATTGTGCCATTAGAAAGAGATTTGGTCTTTGCCCCAAGGTCCTGGCATAGAGCTCCTAAGCTTCTTGGAATTTCATGAATAGTAGTGTGATAGGAGTGTCTTTTGTTCTAATGAAGAGACTCTTAGCAGACCCCTAGATAGTTTCAGAACACAGCCTGTTCACCAGAAAGACCAAGCCTTGGTTAGAAGGTTGAAACTCTCAGCCTTATCCCTCAACCTCTAGGAAGGGGGAAAATGCTGCAGATTGAGTTAACGACCAACCAATGATTTAATCAATCGTGCTTACAGAGCAGAGCCTCCATAAAAATCCCCAAATGAAGCCGGGCATGGTGGCTCACACCTATAAATCACAGCAATTTGGAAAGCCAAGGAAGGCAGATTGCTTGAGCTCAGGAATTCGAGACCAGCCTGGGCAACATGATGAAACCCAATCTTTACAAAAAAATCAAAAAATTAGCCAGGCATGGTGGCACATGCCTGTGGTTCCAACTACTTGGAGGGCTGAGGAGGGAGGATCCCTTGAGCCCAGGAGGCTGAGGCTGCAGTGATCCAAGATCACATCACTGCCCTACAGCCTGTGTGACAAAATGAGACTGTCTCCAAAAAAAAAAAAAAAAAAAAAAATCCCTAAATGATTGTGTCAGAGCTTCTGGATTGGTGGACACATCAAGTGCTGGGAGGATGGTACACCTGGAGAGGGCATGGAAGCTTTGCAGACCACCACCTCCCATACTTTGCCCTATGCACCTCTTCCGCTTGGCTTTTCCTGAGTTGTATCCCTTACAGTAAACTGGTAACAATAAGTAAAGCACTTCCCTG